TATAAAGATTATTTACTTATTTATATTATTCTTTTAGTTAATCTATTTATTTATTAATAATTTATAATTAATAAATTATATTTAATTTTATATATTTTGATAATTATTTATTAATATTTTAATTTAAATAACTTATTTTAGTTTAATATAATTGATTGATTGATTGATTGATTGATTCATATATACATCTAAGCCTAGTAGCTGTCACGGACCTGGATCCACCTTAGTTAAACAGCGTTGTGTCGAGGTACGCTAGGCTTGGTTGAACCACATAAAGGCTCGAGGTTGGACATCAATATAATAGGCTAAGTAAATMWAGTAATAATAATTAATTAATAATAGAAATCTTAATATAACTAAGATAGAAAAGATCTCTTATACAGCCTAGTACCTATACAAATATAAATATTTTACTAACTTTTACTATTATATTTAAATAACTTATATTAAAAAGCTATAAAGAACAACTAAATATATAATAAATAAATATATTTATATAGACTATATTTCCTACACTTTCTTCTATACTCTAATATAGACATTAGTATATATCTAATAATTATTCTTTCTATCTATATATAATTCTTCTACACCTTTATATCTTCCTAATTATATATTATTATATAGTTTCTACTTATATCATTTATAAATCTATATTTCTAGCTAACTGCTCGTGTATCTAGTTATAGAAATAACTAGACATAGTGTTAGCTATTATAATAAATACTTTTTCTTAATAGTACTAGATTCTGCCTAGTATTATATAAGTTAATTTTATAACATTACTCTCCTTCTTCAAGACCTTTATCTCAAAGATTTAAATAGAAAAACTCACTCTTGTTCCTAGCATAACCCTACTTTCTTCTTTAATAAGTATTTAGAATATATCAATATGCCTTCTCTTAAGAATCATCTTGCTTATCGTATTACATAGTCTAAACGAATTTGAAAGAATAGTTTCCCTATTAATAATTCTTACGAATATTGCAAATCTAAGAATAAAATATATATAATAAATACTAAAAATTAAAATTACATCTTATATACTTATCATAGTTATAAATATAAAAAGTAATTTTACAGCAAAAAAGAGTGGTCTGACCTTTAAAAGGCTAAAAATAAAATTAATAAAGAACTAAGAAAAGTTTTAAAAAAATAAGCTACCTTTTCTATAAAAATAAATCATCTCTTTAAATAACAATAATTTCTTAAAGAACGTGGATCCAAAATATTAGATTATAATTTAACTATGATAGATATTCTTAATAAAGAAGATCCTAAGGATATTCCTTCATTAATCCCTCCTAATAAATGATATTTGAATACTACGTCCAAATAATCCTTAGATATTAAGATATTACTTGCTAATTTTAAACTATTTATATTACCTAATCTCTTATTATAGAATATTTTTCTAATAAGCACTACTTCTTATAGTAATTCTTAATTATATCTTGTGCTTTAGTAAGGTTTTTAATTACTTTCTATATGCTTTCTGATTCGTTATATCTTTTCTATTTCACTAAGTATCTTTTCTAGTTTCCAGCTATCTTAGTCGCTAATATTTCTTTGACTTTATAGATTTCTTATTCAATAATAATATTGTTTTATATTTTAGTATTTTATAGTGCTGGTTCTAGTAATAAAATATAAAAAATTAAATATATCTTTATCGTATCTAGTAATTTTAGTTTATAATTAACTTTACTTATTTTTTCTTTAATTTTAAATAGTCTAATTTATAAGTGGTCAAGTTTATTACTTAGTTTTATAATTTAAATATTTTTTTATAAAAAGTATATCTTCCTTCTCTTTTAAAAATCTAGTCTCTTTAGATATTTTTTATTATAATATTTTTTATTTAATTTATTTTAATTGATAATTTCTGTTTAAAGATAGAAATATATCATCTTTATATTTTAAATAAATCTATTTACTACTTTATTAATAGATTTTTAGTATCATAGTTGTCCTAGTAATCTAAGTTCTCTTTTATTATTTATGAAGAATAGTGTAACTTTTATTATTGATTATTAGATAGAATTATATACTAATTATGCTATTAGCAGTAATAATACCCAGTTATTTTAATAATTATTAATGTAGTATTATAGATATTATATTAATATCTAGTTTATTTGTTCTATTTATCTATTAGTTTAAGAATAGTATACTATAGATAATTATTATTCTCCTTCTATGAGGTCCATTATTGATTTCTATAATTTTAATAAAAATATTAGTCCTTTGTTAGATATCATAATTTTTAATATTCTGTGATATTTGAATACTTTGTCTATTAGCTTAAATATTAATTCTTCTGCGTTTATTTTTTCTAATATTGATATGAAATGTGTGTATTTTATTATTCTATCTATTACTATAAGGATTATATTATATTCTTCTGACTTTGGTAGTTTTGTGATATAATTCATTATAATCTATTACTATAGATATTCTAATGCTTTGATTTTTTATAATAACTTATAGAATTTATACTTTTTGATTTTATTTTTCTAGCATGAATTATATTTCTTAATATATATTTTAATATTTTTTATTATTTTTAGCTAGTAATAGTTTCTGGTAATTTTTTTTATAGTATTTATTTATCTTAGATAACTATTAGTTAAAGTGTTATAATTAAGTTAAATAATTTTGTTTTATAATGATTGTAAAATATAGATTAAATTATACTAAAATACTAATCTGGTTTCTATTACTATAACTTTATTATCTTTTCTTTTAATTAAAGTTTGGAACACGGTACGCTGGTTAGGCATGACATTAGATAGGAAGCTCACCCTCCGGTGCCACTATATGACGTGCCTCCAGAAGGCCATAGGCACCGTACGCTCTGTAGAGCCAATGGCCTTACCCCGGAGCTGGTCCGGAGACTCCAGCGAGCCACCGTACAAGCCCAAGCTCTCTGGGGCTCCGAGCTCTGGTGGCAGGGCCAAAAAACGTGGGCTCAAGGCCTACAGCGCCTTATCAACCGCCAAGCGAGGGCCATCACGGGCATGCTCCCAAAGGCACCAATAGGGGCCCTAATTCGGGAGGCAGCCCTAGAGCCAGCGAGTGTGCTGCTAGATGCAAGAAAAGCGAGATACGTGGTAAGGCTTCTAACATTACCCGATACACACCCAACAGCGCAGTTGCTCCCGGTTACGCTCCGATATGGGGATGCCCATGCCCAGCCCGGAGAGCAACCCCTAGACGACCGAGAATGGGCCCAAAATGGGACCCAAGCGCCTAAACGGATAGGCCAACGACTAGCAAAGCACCTAGCTCAACGCCTAACCAAGGACCCGTCAGGGGGGATTGAACGGACCACAGAGTGGGCACGGGAGGCTTTCCCCGGGTCTATTCGGGTTGCTGGCATGGAGATAGCGTTGCGAGAAGCAAGCCAACAGCGCCTAGGAACAACCCTCTGGTCTGATGGCTCTAGGCAAGAAAGCGGGCGTACTGGCGCCGGTGTGGCGCTCCAGCCAATGCCCGGAGCTCCATGGGAGAGCCTAGAAGTGCCTATGGGCACCGGATATGAGGTTTTTGATGCGGAATTGGTGGCTGTCGCTTTGGCGCTAGAATGGGCACTAGATAGGCACCTCCCGGGGCCCATTTACGTCCTTCTTGATGCCCAGAATGCTATTAACCGCCTACAAACAACAAAAACCCGGACAGACCCTAGCGCTTAGGGCTCATAAGGCGGCGTCACGTCTAGCCTCTAGTGGTCGTCCAGTAACGATACAGTGGGTGCCTGGGCACAGTGGAGTGGAAGGAAATGAGCTCGCAGACCAGGCTGCTAAACKTGCCGCTGTCAAGCCCGTGGGGCCTAGCTTTGAAGGCCTATCGTTAGCCCAGGTTAGGCGTGCCTGCACCGAAGCGAGGAGCAAAGCAATGAAAGATTGGGGCCGTGAGAA